ATTTTTCAGTACTTTTACTTAGCTGGATCTACCACAATAGCTATATATTGAAATATGTTATCATTGCAGATCTCCAGTGAGAAGATAAGATGGTTGTATTTCATATTATTTGTCCAAAATGTCTACGGCCAGGGCAACTGGAGTCATTCTTGGCAAATCTCATTAAGCAAATTTACATTCTTATGCTGCTTTGACTGTACTGAGTTTCTTGCTGAAATCTCATCCTGGAATTCTGCCTCCTGGTTCTTCTCTTTGCAAGGCTGCCATTTTCTGCCTACATCATTTCTGTAGGCAAAGGGCTTCCTGGACATTAGCACCAGCATGGAAAAGGCCTCTGTCGGAGGGTTTTCTCTGGCATCAACTTTCATGCGGAATGAAGCAGGTGCAAGGAAGGTCTTTATTCTGAGGCTTTAAATGGGTTTAATGCCTTTCCCCCTCCCTCCTTCTCTCCTAATCATCCAATGATGCAGGGTGTTTTGTTAAGTTTCCTCTACTGCACAGTTAATTTTTTTTTTTTTTTTGCCATTAGCTGACTATATAAATCTTGAAAGTGGAAATCAAAGCTACTTTGGAGGCTCCAATGTTGGAACCAGTCTCCGAACACCAGCTTTCTCCTAGAGGGGCTCTGCGCCCCAACTTTCTTCTGCTCGTGCAAAGGCTTCCTAGCTGGAGCCCGATCTCCCTTGCTTGAAATGATAGCACTGAAGGCATTTTCAAAATCCCCCCCTTCTACCCCTTTATGTCTTTTCCATCCTTTGTATTTTACAATTGCTGCTTTCTGAGTTTTTATTTAGCTTCCTGAATCAAGGCAATTTAAACCCCTGAGAGGGAGCGGGGAATACTTAATTTTACCCCATGCAGAGAGAGGGGCAGACAATCCCTCTTATCAATCAGGTGCTCCTTTATTTGGGGACAAGGGCTGCAGCCACTTGGCAGAAACAAACTCATTTGGAAGGAGTTGTTTGGGGAAAGGACAGCTACGGATGGGTCTCTAGGCCAAAAATGTCTGGAATGCAAAGGAGTTTCACAGAGGGCTTCAGCTGAGCTTCTCCACGTCCCTGGTCATTCTGGGAAAGACCCAGGTCACTCAAGGCCCCCAAAGGTCATCTCCTACCATGGCACCAAGCTCAAGTCCAGATCAGAGAACCCACACTGGCCCTGGAAGGAGAACTCACCTTGTCCCACTTTCATGATGATCTTCATGGAGTGTGTTTGGCACACCCCGCCTTCTCGGTTCTCCAAGCCCTCAAGGGACCCATTGGATGTGGCTGCAAGGAGAGAGAAAAAAGGCGTCAGGGCTATGGAAAACAAGGAAGGGCGACAGTGCAACACTCACAGACCCTCCTCCACCCACGGTGCACGAGAGGCAAGGTGGACGGTGGGCCCGAGAGCCTCCCCCGCTGCCCAGAGCTGCCATGACTGCGTCTGGGGAAGGTTGCCCCACGTGGGTAGGGTTGCTCTCATCCACAATGGGCCATTCCCTCTTTAAAAGGCTAAAGTGGTCAAAGAGAGAGGAAGTGGGAGGGAAGCTCCATCTATAGTTAATCCTGCCCCTCTCCACTCCCACTCAGCCAAGGAGCTGCCAGTTCTGCAGGGGGAGGTTGGGCTAGTCCTGTCCAAAGCGGCTGCTGATCCCGAGAGCCTCAGCATCCCTCCAGCTGAAGAGGCCTGAAGATTTATTTTTTCATTTTATGACATGTATGTGAGGCCCACCTTGTCCAGAGACAACTCCAAGCAGCCTACAAACAATAAAACTACTACACATTAAAATAATAAAGCAAAAAATAATAATAATAACAACAGTAATAAGTGCTGTTCAAAAGGTGTTGAGGGGGAGGGGAGCACAAAGTACACGGGGAAGAAGAGTGGGGGACTTTCCTAATCCAGGAGTCACCTCCAGAAGGGGGCACCCCTTTGGGTCCCCAGGCTGAGCTGAGTTTTCAGCTCTTTTGGAAGGTCAAAAAGGGTGGGGGGGGGTGTCAGATTTACCAAGATTGGGAGAAAGGGGACCCTTCCCATTATGGAGACCCTCCATTTTTTTTAAAAAGTTTTTTATTTTTTCCCATTCAAATACATTCACAAATATACATTCTTGTAAGTGCTACTAACATTTATCTATTAACCATTAATGTTTATCATTATCTTATATAAAATACATTTTGGGTCACTTTCTTGCCACCCCATGTCTCCATCTAATTCTGCAACAACCTTGCTCCTTCCATCTTCTCAACCTCCCTTCTCTGCCTTCTTCTTTCCTCCTCTCCTTCCTCTTTTCTTCTTCCCCTCTCTTTCCCCCACTCCTCCTCTCTTCTCCTCCCCTCCCCCTCAACACCTTTTGAACAGCACTTATTACTGTTGT